AAAGCAAAAAAAGGTTGCCTGTGCAGCTACACATTATGCATGACCTGTGCTTCTATAATTATTTCTACTTCTGTGTATCTGTAAAATTCTATGCATACACAACACTCTGCAAAAAAAAAAAGAGACACACTCTAACATTATGTCATGGCCAGTTATCAGTACCAAGGCATAGTTGCTCTCACAGATGAGAGGTGTCTAGAGAACAAATACATCCTACAGTATGTCACAGCTATGCAGATAACCAGACAGATATGAAGACAGAGGGCAAAAAGCAATTCTCTGAGGCCTCAGGCATGGCAGTGTCTGTTACAGAGACCCATCCCAAGCCAAACAGGATCAACCATATCAGCTGGATTTCAGCCAGAAAATGTAGTTCTGTTCTTACATCGCCTCTGCAACATCCAGCCCTCACAGTCAGATCAACAAGTCTAGTCTTTGCGATCAAAGGAAGTTACTGCATATAGAGAGCTAGGTACCCACAAATAGGGAGTTGGCATGCATATTTTTTTACAGTAGGCAATGGAATAAGTACTGTATGAGACGAAACTTGAAATATATGCTATCAAAGTGTACCAAACTGCCCACTGTCTTAAGCTGGTCATTATTAAAATACAATAACAGTGTCATAAGAATAGTTTCCCCCAGAAATAATGGGAAAACTAAACAAGAGAAGATTCTAAAGGTACAGGTTTGTCAGCTTTACCTTTTTGTTTTTAGAGAACTCAGCATCTTCTCATTTTGTTTCTGAATCCTTGGGGAAGCCTGTGGAAATCAGTCCGTCTGGTTAATATAGAAATAATCAGTTACAGTACTAACATGGGAGCTGTGCTCAATCAGTACTCCGCTAGCTTTGCTGTCATGTTCCCTCTTTTGCTGTGATGCTGAAACACAAGGGGAACTTGAAACCAGTTTTCTCTTTTACTGCACTGGATGTGTTGGGGGAAAAAAAAAAGTAAATGTGAGAAAGCATGTTAATTTCTCCACATGACAGACTGAATTATTGTAAACATCTACAATAGATTAGCATACAGTAGCTCTTGTAGCCGAAAGAAGAATTTTAATAGTAAAACCACTCCCTTATTAATATTATGAATCCTGTTGATAATAATACATTTCTCTATCCCTGTTTCTAAAAGCCCTTGTTACATGAGTTACTGCTTTGGATAGAACATCAATGAGTATCCTGCCATAACACTACAGCTACTAGACTCTGCCTTTGGTTGCTGTTATTTTCAAGGAAATGTCAGTTAATGGTCTAAATTCTACCAAACACTCACAGCAAGCAAAGGGATCAAAAACCATAAAAGCTGTATTCTTAGCTATGGGTTCCCTTATATATCTAACTAGCCTAAATTAACACCATGTGAGAAAGAGTCTCTCAAACTGTCACCAGTTGCCTAATTAATTGATTAATGCACCACATGTGAACCTATTTACAAATAGAGACCTTATTTAGCTTTAGTGGCAGAATTTACTACCCTCATTTCTGCTGGTACATCATGTCGCATACAGTATACAGAAACTACTGTAAGTGGATAGAACTTGCAAGCTATAACCTCTGGAATGGGATAGCCTTCCTGTGATCTATAAAACACAGCAGCATTTCAATGCAGAACCCACTCATGTAACAAGGGCCTAACATTAATGTTCAGTCTACCTTATGGCAGTTAAACATTTTTTGGTACAGAATTTCATTTGTAAATGGAAATGCCCAGTACATTTTGCTGTATTATTACAAGGTACTGTAACATCTCACACAATTTTCATCTTTATTTTGCCTTTATACTGCTCCAAAATCTTAATGACAGAGAGCTACACAATATGAGCTGGGAAGTTTATTTATTATTTTATCTTTTATTTAACCAGATACAATCGGAGCAATCTGAGTGAAGTAGAGTGCTCAATAGCACAACTGCAGTATTCCACCAGGAATTTAATCCACTCCCTTCCAACTGGGAGCACAGAGCCCTAACCACTACTCCATACTGCTGCCAAGCAGGACAAAGTGCTTGATCCACATTTATCACACACCAGGACTCTAGAATGCGAAGAAAAAAAGTGCGTCTTACAAAGTATGAAAATAAATACCTAAAATCTGCCATCAATACAATCAAACACACATGCAGTCTTACAATTTGCGGTTTTCAGATATAAAGCACTAGATAAAGAAACAAAAAATTGTTTAAGTCTCTTTGTGGGAAATAAAAAGAAAATCCATCCATCTATTTTCTAATCAATGCGGTATCGCAGGTAAAAAGACCAGATTATTCCTTATGTTTATGAACAGATATTCTTTATTTTGTAAAAAGTTAATTCATTCATTATCCCAAAACGACTTATTCTTGATAAGGGTCGTAGCACCCAAGAATCTATCCTAGAAGCCCAGGGTGCAAAGCAGTATGTCAGGCCATTGTAGGGTGCATACTCGCATACTGTACACTTTCAATTCCTAGCCTAGCCACCATGTATGTCTTTTGGGGATGGAGGAACCAGAGGTCCATGCAGAAAACCCATGTGAATCCAGAGAGACCATGCAAACTACAGACAAAAGGTGCTCCAAGCAGTATTCATGTTCTGGGCCTAAAAGCTATGAGGCAGCCGTGCTAACAACCGTGCCTCTGATGTTGGCTGATTAAAGACTTCCTGTTCTCAAGAGTAATTGCAGAATAATTTTTCCTTCATTCCATGCACATAAGCACATTCTTTCAAGAGTGTTAGTTAAGGGTTGAGATAGACATAAATAATGATAATAATCAAAATAAAATTAAAGCTGCAAGTATATGAATTAAACTGTCTGATTCTATGGCTATAAGTAAATTTGCATATTTTATATTTCTCCAGTTTAAAAGATTAAGGAATTAATGGTGGAATGATTGTGAAAATGTTAAATAATTTAAAGCAAAATAACTCCTTCTTTTGAGTTTAAAATACACTTAAATAACAAGGTACAATATTATTGTAGTTAAATCACTGTTTTTGTCCCTCATGAAACTATGTACTTGGAACAACTTAATTCCTTTAATTACACAGTTTAAAAAGCATTAAGACCCTTTTAATTTAAAGTCACAACATTATACATTTTGATCTTTTTTTTCATTAAGCCTAGATTTTCCAAATCTATGGTCCTATCTGTAGCCCCCATAAACTCCTAAATGTGCTATCACAGCTAGCAATATATACTTCTGCAGGACAGAAGAAAACAACAGAGATGCAGTGACGTGCAATATGTAACAGTATAGATGTTGGAGATACTTTGGGTACATTACATTATTCTGGAACTACCAAGGTGAAAATGTACCATAGGAAAACAAGGATAGTAACAAATATCACAGGACTTTTGTGGTGTAAACCATGGTAATTATCATTTACAATGGTACTTATTGTACAGCAGTTCTCTGTATTTTTAACTATGGTAAATACTACATTTCTTACAATGAAAAACAATAACACTTCAGCGCTTCTAGATTGTATGCAATTTTTGTCCGGTAAGCCCAATATATTATAGTCCACATTCTTTCTACAGGGTTCTTTGGTGCTCATTTCAGGCCTTTTTCTGCAGAATAATTTATTGAAATTATTGCCAAAATGCCATTTTGTCTATTTCACTGCAACTGGTGCTGCATTTCTTAAAGGAAGCATTATTTTCTCCAAAAGGCAAGCAGAAAACAAGTGAGACACAGGACCAGAATCCCCTTTCCAGACTGGCATTGACACTTTAAACCTGTGTCACTAGTATACAGAACATTCTTGTTTAAATGACTTCAAGGAAGAGCTATACTGTATCTAACTTGGACTTCTCTGCTGTTATCATTTGCTGATTGCAGGCCACAGCCCTGTCATAAAGCCCCATTTAGTAACATATAAAACCAATGACACTGTAAAATACTTATTGTGATGACTTGGTATGGTCCCTATTTAAAATGTATTAGGTTTGGATGAACCCTAAATCAACATTATTAAGAAATATATTTTCTTCTGAAGCCAAATTAACAAAGTCACCTGTAAATGAAACAACAATGAAAAGAACTGCTGAGCACAGCATAAAAGCCTTTCAGCAAAAAGGACCCCGGAGTAAAAACAAAAAACAAAAACTAAGGTGATTAAACCAGTAATGTCAGATGATGAGGCCACAATTCTAGACATTCCCAAAACTCAAGTAAAGTAAAAAAAAAGTAAGAAAACACCAGTGGGTTAGATTGCTAATTTTAGCCCCTTTTACAGAATCTTAATTTCTCACCAGCAGCCAAATGTTGTTATGTTGCATTATGCTTCAGATGTGGATAGATATTCAATTCTGATATTACAAAATTACACAGAAACAGATCTCTATATCTAGAATGCTTTATTTCAGAAACCATTGCTCTTTCCAGGGAAGCTGACAAGGCACAGGAGTCAAATGTTGTACTCAAGTCCGAATTATTTTATCCATTTTATCCACTGTTAATGAATTAAGTTATTAGTGGAAATAATATGTTTATAATATGTATGTCTGAGCATAGCCTAAGGAAATCGATTTTTTAATCTGGATTGTTTGGCAGCTAACAGTTAATCCATCTGATGACCTTTTTTAAAGGATCCCAAAAAAACAGATGAGGATGGCTGTCTAAAAATGAATAGATTATAAATTAACCCAGTTGTGGGTTTAATGTGGGTCAGTTGTGTTTAGTATTATAACTTACAGTAAGCTAAGTGAATTATCAAATTTAACTGGCCTGCAAAACCCATTAGAGAGGAATTTCAGCTATAGCTAAAAATGTTTCAAAGTTTCCACAGACAGTGATAATTCCCAGCATGATTTTTACTTGTCTATAACAGATTACATGGGAAAATTATGTCAAATGTGTCACTGTAACACAAAAAAGCAATATCTGCTCCAATTCTCAATAGAAAAATACAAACCAGAGGACAAGCAAAATAAGCTCAGATGAAAAAAACTGTTCTTCACACGAAGGTTTGTGTATATCTGGAAACACCAACCCCAAGGTGAAACTGATTCTGGGAACACGGGAAAACTTCAAAAACATTCCTGGATGTCATTGGCTCCCAGCAGTCCAGACAGCTACAGTAAATGTGCCGAATGGTTTCCTCTTGTTGTAACTTTTTTATGTTATGTAGTATATTTATAAGGTTGATCAGAGCAATTGTATTTTCAGAAACACTAGGATATCACTGAGTTGTTCAGCAGACATCCTTTAAATCATGTTTGACAACTGATCTATTTCTCTGAGTTTATTAGCAGTATTAGATTTTCCTCTCCATGCTGTTTCATTAGGAATGAAATATGTAAGAAGTATTAAAGGCTAAATATTAAGATTTAAACATCTTTACTAGCTTTTTTAAAGACAATAAAGTTTTGTTGTGAAAGACAAATGACCTTATACATGAAATATTGTTCAATTCTACTAATTTTGCATATTGCATAGACATATACTATAGCATTCAATTCAGATTATAGTTAACATGGAGTACAATGGGATAAAACATAGACAAATTAGTAAATAATTGGCAAAATGGAGGATATGTTGTTCACTATACTTTTTAAACTGGACATTGTGACCCCATCACCATTTCAAAAAGCACCTTTAAAAGTTAAACTTGTTTAAGACTTAAAAAGCTTTATTGTACCAAAGCCACACTTGGAAGGACAAAGTAAATTATTTTTTATTAGTTTAGAAAGGCATATGCAATTCTAAGTTATTGTTACCCCACATCTCTCCATTGATGGCTCACAGTGCCTTTTCAGAATCATCAGAAAATGTTTCCCAGATAGTGAACCTTCAATCCCGGTATTCTGTACTTTCACTGCTTTAAACTGGTTTCGCAAATGTTATGCTTCTTATACACACGATTCGTGGTCAACAGCTCCCAACTCCATTGCCCACAATCTACTGTAGTAACTCTAAGAAACTGATAAAGCTCCTATCTGATCCACCTCAGGTTTGAGCTGCTGACTGGTACACTGACCACTAGATGACATTGTGTATTGCAGGCCTGTTTCTTCTGTGTACAACAGACAAATGAACGCTTTGAAAATCACTGATGGTGACATGTTCGCTCAGTCCTCTTTTTATGATTAAACCAATGTGGAAAGAAGATACAATAGCTGAATTTAATAACGGCTTTCACACAAGTCACCAGTCTTTGTACTCAGAATCAGACATTAAACTATTGTTAATCACTTTGTTACATCCAAAAAAAGAGCCCTTGCACTAACAACAAGTACTTCCCTCAAGCAAAGGTTAAGTACCATTCCAGAACTCCTAAATAAATATAATTTTGCTGGGTGAGATGCATTGTCCTGTTACAAAAAACAGTATGAGAAACTTTAACAAGATACATCACAATAAAACCTTGATCATGGAATAGTCATCTCATAGACTGAATAGAATCTCTTCCCTTAAAAAAATGGCAGAAAACTGGAGTTCAAAATTCACATTGTGGCTGAAAATCAGAAACATATACCAGGTGATTATGAAGCTGGAATTTATTGTTTTTCCATGTATTAAATTATATTTAATATGTATTTAAGAACATTTACAGCTGAGCAATGTTTCTTACTTATAGTGGTTCTTGGTGCTTTGCAAACTTAACCTAAGTACCCACAGAATTTCCTCTTGAGTAAGTTAAAACAAGGAAGGGTGGCACTAATTTCAGTTAAAAAAAACAGACTCATAGTATGTTTTTAGTCATTGTAGAATGACAACTGACTTTATAATAACCTGGTATATGAATATGTATTGGCCTTTTTATCCAAATGGAAATGTTTGTTGTCTGAAATTTGTCATTTCTAAAACATAAATCCATTACTGCAGACGAATCCATAGATTTACCAGAGAATTACTGAGCCAACAGCCCATGTCCTAACTGTGAGTAGAGTGGTGTGGGTTTCGTATGCCCAGCTATAAAATGCAATGACACAATGACGCTCACAGGCCCAAGCCGCTGGTGGAATGGTCTCTCTGAGGCAGGTTGGCTGCCTCTTTCACACTTGCAGTCACTTCCTTTACCACTGAATCCCCATTTACAATACCGATGCTCCTCCACTGCCTCCCTGTTGTCGCCTGGGTTACAGGTTTGCAGTCCTTCCTGTTACACTCTGGAGTCCATAGCATATTTCTTTCCCGCTGCTGTCCTTCCATACTGGTATATGGATCTGTTATATTGTGAAGATCTGGCATCTGGACAGACAGACAGGAAGCAGGTAAGAATGTTAACCGTTTGTCATGCTTATGTATGTACTTTCTGTATTGAATTATAATTCTCAGCTGTTTTTACTGCTGTATTTTTTGTCATTTATTCCATTTGCTATACTTTTTTCATTGTCTTTTTGCACCTCTTGTGCAGTGTTTGTGTAATATGGAGCAGTGCTATGAAGTTCTTGATAAATGCTCAAAGAAAATGAACTGTTTGCACAGGCATTATCGTTATGTTTGTTTACTGTAGACAATTGTGTCTCAAAGAACCTTCACAAACATCATGAAAGGTTTAAAAAAAACATTGTCCAATTTACACCTCTCTGAAATCACTTAATCTCCAAGTCATTGTCAGGGACTAAATCTATACGTTCTTGTAGAAAGTAAGGACAAATGTAGGATTTAAAGAAAAAAACACTAAAAGAAAAAGATCCATTCAAAGATCATTCAATTTAAGGAGCAACAAAATACTTCCAGTCATAGTGCTAGGATCAAATTAAACATCTGAATATTTCAAAAAGATCTGTGTGGCTATACATTCGTACTTCTTATCACAATATCTTAAAATTGCCTGAAGCTCATGTGGATCCTATGTTTCATAGTGGAGTATCCAGCACTTACCTCTAAAAATATACAGACAACAGGTTAGTACAATAGAGGTTAGAAAGCATCCAGTCGACCCAGCCATGCCCAGCCAACAAGACCATCCGAATTCGTAGTGCATCCCAAGGTAGACATTCTTCAGCACAAGAGTGGCTCTCTCCACATAGACATCCACTGCGTACCACACAGAGCCAATCATCCCTGGGATTCCTGCAATCACACAATATAATCCAGCTCCACCTTTATTCTTCTATACAGCACTTGATGCCACTCTATCCCCGGGTGATGTAGTGTACAGAATAAAAGGTTTTAAAATATTCAGGAATTTCAACAACTCTAATGAAACCTGAAGTGGCACTCTGCTTATGGAGAGTATATCATCTGCTGAACATTTTAGCCCCATTCCCCTTTTTGGTAATAACCTACAAAGCTGCATTTAGAGACCTTTTAGAATAAGTGGCTAGATAGTAGATAGGGGCTTCTGGATGAACAACGGCTTACCAGAGGAATCTGTATGAGGGCCGCTGTTCTTACTGATTTCAAAGTTATTCAACTTTCAAGTATATAAGTAGCCAGCAGATTAATCAAATTTACAAATCATCTCAAGTGTTGAGGGTCAGCAAACATTGCAGAAGTTGCAAAACAAATTCAAGCTGATTTCAACTAAATTCAGGAAAGGAAACAGAGAAAAAACTGCCAGATGCAGGACTTTGCAAAAATAAGGTTCAATTTTTAAAAGTGCCTGCCAGATTAATATAATTCTACATTTTTAGCCTTGAACAAGGGGACTTGATTCAAGTTCAGAATCCTCAAGGCCACGGACCACCCAATTGGCATCTTCAGACTCGACAGAAACACAGGAAGAGAACACAAATGGAAACTACACACAAGCTCAAATAAAATTGGGACAGGATGCACTTCTTTGTAGATTGTTATTGGATTCTGAAACAACCAACTTGCCAACACCCTGGTATATTTCAAGAATCAGCTGAGACCTTTGGATCAATTAGTTACTAATAACACAAGCTACGTAAATGGCATCCTTTTTTTTCCTCATGATTTTGATATTAGTATTATTTAGGCTGATATGTTTAACCAAAGCACAGCTCATTTCATTACAAAGTGTTATGAGCCCAGAGCCCTTAACTGAACCACTCCACTGCTACTTCGGTTCTATTAGAAACCCAAACCCATCAAGGATTTCAGATATTGCTCTAATGTATTAGGTCTAGTGATTTCCATGTTGTACCTAGGGAAGATAATAGCTGTTTCCCATTAGGTCTTCTGGGCTGCAATCTGACTTAAATGGAAGTGTTTTCTAAACAATGCTGCAACTTGCTTAGGTGTGAAAGTGTTGCTACAGGTGTTCCAAAAACGTTTCTTTCTCTTGCCTTGCAGTTCCGCTTTTTGCTGGAAGCAGTCTGAATTCTTTAGAACTCAATTACTTTGAAACCCTGCAAGGTTACAGTGGCAGGAACTGCTACTTTGTTAAACCAAAACTCTGATGAGTCTATTATATATGTTAATATTTTTTTTTCTTTTATTATACTGTTACTTTTTTTTTGCGGACAAATTTAAATGCACCCAACATAATTATCTTGTTCTTAATACTTAGCAAATACACATAAAATAAGAGAGAAGTAAAAAGTATCAGTGACTCTTTATGAATGATTGCAATGATCAGACTAGATGGAAAGAAAAAAATAGAGCTCATCTTCTCTAATGTCTGAGCAGTATCTTTAAAACAAACCCCTTCCCAAATCAACCACAAAATACACAGCCATCGCACCTCCTAACCCAAATATGTATCCTGCAAAGTAACATATCCTCAGTTTTATGTGGGGCTCTTCCTTGAACAGCTTGATGAAGTCCAGTCCCAGCACCAGGATGATGAGTGCGAAGCTGGCTAGGATGTCCGCCGTAATCATCAGAGCACGTGTGAGCACAATTTTCACTGCAAAGAGAAGCAGGCAGAGTGAAGGAGCTGTCCACAATTTGCTACAGATGGGGAAGATCAACACTGGTATAAGAAAAAAACTGCAAATACATTCTGCAATTCACTTTTGATATTGATGCAAAAAAAAGTCTTTCATTCAAGATAATCAAAATAGAATATAGAATACATTGAATGCTACTGATTTTTCCTTATTTACTACAATGTAGATGGTATTCATCTATGTCTCTCATGAACATGGCAATGGATATAGGTTCAAACCAGCTAGCGTGGAGTTTCCAATAGTGCTATCCCTATGCATATTTCCTCAGCTAAGCGGGATGAAGCCAAATCTGTAGTTCAGACTCCTGCCACTAACCTCAGCTGATCCGAAACTATTGGGCAGTTACAATCTCATGCATGAGCAGCTTCTCTACACTTCAGCTCATGTGGAGATGTAAGTAATTGCTTCACTTGAATTGACTTGGGTAATTTCGGGAGCCCAGATTGTACAAGGTTTGAGTGGAGTGTAGCAAGGACACCAGGGTCAATGTTTCTACTCTCATGACCAGTGTCATGGGGTCTTCTCTTGACTTAGATTTCAGAACTGTAGTTTAGCATGTCATCTGAAAGACATCACGACCTACAGCAGAGAGCAGAGAGTCCCCTGGCTCTGGACAAATCATGGTCTTGGAAATCTGGTCCAGAGAGAGACAGCACAAGGAGTAGCTCTGCACCTTCTGAGAAATGGTGCTTCTATCTTGAATTCACTAAAACCTAATAGAAACTTCCATACATAGAAACCAAATGTCAGTAAGGCACACCATGCATGAAATACAACAGTCTGGCCAGCAGAGGGAGCCAGTGTATAACCTTACTGTGTTGTGACAGTCCTTTCATCCCTCTGAGAAATTAGCAAGTTCTCTTTACAGTGCGAAAACCTTTCTTTAAATGCTTAGCAGTCAGTACTATTAGTAACCCTGGCAACTGACCATATAGTTATTTCGGAAGCAAATTGTTACAACTGACTTAAAAACAAGGAAAGCTATGTGTATCACTTTTTGATAAATATTGTGATTAGCTCAATCTAGTAACCAAAATACATTTTTATAACTCCAAAACACTTTTTCATATTGCATGAGATTATAGTGAAAATTGCACAGGTGATCAAATGTCTGTGACTTTAGGACAATTAATACAGTACTAATCAATTTCTTGCAATTAAAAATGGAAATTTCTGTTTCAGAAGATCAGAACTAAACAGGTCCCTTAATCAGTACAAAATGTGTACAAATATATTCACTTCCATAATTTCTGTTCTCTGCTGGCCTTTGCTCTGACTGAAACAGGAGGATGGAACAATAAGTGGGTCTAATAAACTGGATGATTTCTTTTGCTTGCTGGAATAATGTTAACAGCTTCCAGCAGATGTTGAGTAAAAACATGATCTGAACAAGAGCCTGATTTCTTTTTGCCACAAAAAATAGAAACCCGGGTGCTTTCAATATCTGCTTTCAGCATCTGAACATCATTTATTTAGAGATGACTTCAGATTTCTGATTGCCATTATTTTTTATTGCTTTTGTACTGTATTTTTCATTGTCTAGCTTGGCGAGGATGCAGTGCTCTTCTCCTTAGTGTTATCAGACAGTGCCGCTTGAACGGCATGTGGGAAAATAGGCAAATAAATAGCTAGAAATAGCTGGAGTGTGATAAGGCAGAAAGAATAACAATGTATACTAGTTTAGCCTAGGATCAAGAAAAGAAATTCCTATTTCTGACAGCAACATACAAGTCCAAATTACTAAGTTTTGCAAGCATTTGTATTTTTGTACTGTATAATCTGTAGTAAGTGTTCTACAATGTAAAAGCATCATAATTGGCAGCTGTTGATAGTTATGTTTTTACATATTTATACTTGTTTTGGCAAAAAGAAAATGAGGCCCTTCAATCTCATCCCAGGTTAATTCCCTCGGGACACTGGCACCACAATGTCCCATCAGGGAGAGGTAATTAACCTTCAGGAAGTAATAATACAAAACAGAGGATAATCTTTTCTAATTATTCATCCTGTGTGTTTTGCTCAACAATTCTATGAGATGGCATGTATGATATTGTGCAAGTATGAAACTGGAAAAAATAATATCTATCTACATGTGCTAAATCACTCACCATTTTTAGTTCAAATCAAAGACTGAGAGATCAGGCAATGAAGCTGAAGTGATAAGAGGAGTGTAATCAGGACAGGCAGTGTGTGTGTTTGTGTGGTGATGGCCCTATAAACACTAGAAGCCACATCATAAAAGATTTGTCCTCAACTTAACTTATACCTCTTTCATAAACAAGGAAACAACCAAATAGCTTTATAATGTATCAGAGAAAGACCTCTTCAGATATCAATGTAAAATTCCCCGTAGCCAGTTTAAAAGTTTATATTTCTACTCCAGAGCTGGGCTGTTTTGTATTATTATGGAAAGACCTGTCTGAGTTGAGCCCTAGTTACTGTTAAGATCTGCATATTTGCTTTAGTCAGGCAGCTTTATTAATTTATTTTTAGAAATTACTGAACTGCAGGTAGCAAGAACTAATTTGACAGGCCTTCGCCCTACATGTCATTCATTTAGAAGAAAAAGAAAACACTTAAGAAATTCCTACAAGTCTGAGAAAACAAATACACGTCGGATTATCAGAATTTGGTTGATGTGATGAAACAAATGAGGTCTTGTGCTCTAGTTCTTTAATAGATTTTCTCTGTGGTAATAAGAGGATGTTTATGTCTGAAATTTCCTGTTTGTTAAAGACTGGGGGATGTTTGAAGCTTAGTATTCATTTTCAGTAACCTTTATCTTCTTTCCTCTCCACAAAAACCTTAGAGCTAATGACTAGTTGGCAATGACTGCATTTAACTTTTTCTCCTCAGTTTCCTGTCTGTTTCTCTGTGTTTCAGTGCTTTTTTGTATTGGAAATACATCCATCCATTTTCTATCCATTTGTCCTGGTGAAGGTCACAGCAAACAAGAAATGCAATACAATGAAAAATAAACCTAAATAAAAATTAAATATAAATTATTTTTTGTCTTTTTTATTCTGCAGGATGCACCACCTCTCCAGTGTTTACCTGTAAAGCATCACAGATAGAAAGTTTCCACACATGAATGAGACAGGAACCAGAGGAACCTTTACACAAAGGTTTGTAAGAGTCTGGAACAAGCTGTACACCCCTTCTGTTCAAGCTAATACCTTGGCTTCTTTCAAGAAAAGACTAGATAACAACCTTAGATGCGCCAAATGGTCTTGTCTTGTTTGTAACCATTTTTGTGTTCTTAATTCAATATTATCAGGTGCTCAGGAAAGCGAGGATGCTACCAAAGAACAGAATTCCTACAGTGTAATGCAGTTAGTGTTACTAAATGTTCAGTACACAGATATAGAAAAAATAATGTTCTATCAATTATTACCAATGAATAGAAGGATGACCTACTGTACAACATTTATTTCAAGTGCTTCTTTTACTAATGAAACTAAACTCACCTGTGCATCACACAAGCCATTCATTTGTAAAATCCTACATGTACCATCACTGAAAGACAATTTCATGATTTTGTATCAAGGTTCTCCGTGTTCATCAGATATAAATCTAAAAAAATAAAACAGGGGAGAAACACACTGTTTTCTAGATAAGTGCTACAAGCCGCTACAACTAGATGCTGCCAATTGTATAGCTCATTTCATGTGCCCTAACAACTGACAGAGATTAATTATGTCTACCCTGGTCTAAACTTGCTTTTAATGTATTACAAATCATTGTAATTACAAAGTACTATGAACACTTCAATTTTGATGGGGACCGACAAGATCTTCTTGTGTGTGTCCTCTGAGGGACATGCCTCTCCGACTCTTTCTCAGAGTCTCCAGTTAAACTAAACCTTTTAACCTAGTTATGCCACTGCCAGATAGTGGCGTTTAAAACTCATCAACCTTGACCTGTTTTACTGCAACAGTCGGTGTTCTAAATTGTCATTAACAAGGGAAGGTCCCAGTTAGAAACAAATGTATAAATTATGTGATCAAGATTAAACTTGAAAGTCAGTGGCACACATGAAAATTCCATCCATTATCAGAGAAACGCGTTTCCTGAGAAGCGATACAGCAGGCAGAATCCTGCTTCCCTGCCCTTGCATTGGTCTGGAGCTCATTGTGAGCCATGGAGGAAGGGGCAATACTGGGCAATACTGAAAAGCCAGTCACACTTATGCTTTCTGTGATGTGAGAGAAAACCTGACCAGCAAGTGAAAACCCATTTATTACATTTCAATAACATTTGGGAAAAAAACAAAACAAATACTTGATTTTACAGTAGTTGTTCAAACCCAAAGTAGACATTTTTTTACAAGCACCCCACATCAAGAAGCTTGGGTTTTAGACAATTTGACCCCTGGCCACAGTGTTCATAAGAACATAAGAACGGTTACAAGCTAATACAGACAGGTTGGACTATCTCGGCTGATTGGTAGCTGATTAATCCAAGGATCTCAACCAGCTCTTTAATGAGTGAAGCCAGAGTATTAACTTCAAACGCCATACTAGCAGGTTCCAGACCCCACAATGTTAGATCCTGAAATGACAGATTCAGTACTGCACTGAGACAATGAGGCAGACTTACACGGATGCTCAGCGAGGATAGTCTCGTACTGGTCGCAGGTCCGAATGCCATCCTGTGTGTTGGTGACACACTCCCACCACAGGCCTCTGCACTTCTGGCTGACCTGTGGAGAGAAATGGACCCACTGACAGAGAAGAGCACAGGGCCTGTGGCTGAAACCCACACTCAAGCTGCAAGACACCGGAGTGCGGCGACACACAGGGAGACACACCCTTCCAAAAGCCTGACCCCCTACCAGGGACGGGAGTTTGAAAGTCACAAAGGTGACATCACCTTAACAATTTACCCGACACTGTGAGACCTGGTTCTGTAACCAGTCATAGTTGTGTACTATCTTTTCTAACATCAGCACTTTTAAGCACTTTTTATAATAAAAAACAATGTACAGAGGGATGTACAGTATGTATGATGCCAATTCATTCAAAGATTTGAAATGGATTATTGAAACAAACTATCCATGCAAGTCATCAGAATTCTGTAGGTGCAGATGTAGAAAATTTACTGTACTTTTTCTTTGTTTGAAAACATATCAAAGGGATGATGTTATTTCATGTTACATGACAATTTAATCATTTCATCCATTTCTTTCTCTTTATGATTTCATATGATTATATTACACCAAGATCAAAGTTTTAGACACCTTACAGCTGTTTCCAGAAATCATTCGATTTCAGTTTCCTTCAGATTCATTATTTGTTGTCCTTCTTCAGAACATGCCCATATCGAGGGAATTATATTCATGCTGGATTTAGCTATACAGAAAATGATTTGATGTTAATGGTTCTTTTTACAACCTTTCTCTTTCTTTTCAGCATTCCAGTAAACACAGAGGGACTGTTAACAGGCTCTGAATTTCAATAAGATCCTGTCTCAACAAAGATAAGTCAAAGAAAAAAAGATATTACAGAGGGAGGCCTCACAAAAGCTAGTGTTGTTTACAGAGACAATCTGTATTTCCCCTAGTCTGTTTCCTTCCTATTATCAATAATAAAGCAATGATTCTACAGACAATATTCCTTTTTTTGTGAAACCCTTGTACAGTACAGTATGTGGCCTTTCACAAGATACTGTGCATTCCTTTTGATAGAAAACAGCTGCTCGTAGATTCCTTTAGATTATTATATCAGGAAGAGAAAAAACATCATAAAATTAGTCTGAACTTTTAACTTTCTTGATTTGGTTATTGTTTTATTTTTGTTTTGCGGGGGGACTCTGAGTTACTTCTTTATGGAAACTTTCGTGATAAGTGTATTTTCCATCACAAGAATCAGAAAATTACGAAACATACAGTATACAGCACATGCACATGATAACAGATTTGAATGCCATAACAGCATTTAATAAGTTTTCATTTTCATATTAATCGCTGTTGGTGGGACAGTCTCTTCTGATCTTTTTTTTCTCTTTTAAACATGTTTAATTCCTAATCCTTGGCAACCTTTGATTTTACCTCCAAGTCGTCATCAGCGTTGACCATCCAGCAGTCAGTCCAGGTTGCTACGATGAGGAAGACAGTGGACACCAGGGCCAGGCAAAATGCCATGAACTGGAGCACCACGATCATTCTCAACTCTGGAGGACTCCAAAAATAAAACACTTTTTACCAAACACATTACACCAAAATCACTCTTTGCCCCTTTAGGTCCCTCTATTCTCTTTATAAAGCCTTGCAAGTCTTAAATTAAACAAATTGTGTCAGTCGTCGTTGTGAACAGTGCCAAAAGGTGTGATGCAAGCTGTTAAGTTTTATGATGGAGACATCGAGATACTTTGTAATTTGACTGAAATATTTATTCATTGCGGAAATTAGCAATGAAATACACATTTTTGGTTTAGACTAAGATTTCTTTTCTAAAATACTGCACCATTTGATGTAAACAAGGTGAAAAATACAAATTACACATAACATTTTTTTTGCTATTTGCAAATTTAAAATAGTAGTGCTTTTATGTTTTTAATCCTTATTAATTACTTTCTTATAAGTTACTTAGTTTTTCTTTGTATTAGTTCAACATTAT